GCATAACACATCCCAAAACTCTGAAATATAGCCAGTATGGATGAAACTTCTATAACATTTATTCATCTATAGTCTGTCTCTGTCTCCATCTCAGGCCCTCTCCCCTCTGTGTGTGTATGTGTGTGCACGTGTGTGTGTGTGTGTGTGTGTGTGTGTGTGTGTGCATGTGTGCATGTATACATGTATTTTGTGTATACTTAAGCATAACTTTGACATCAGAAAAAAAAAAAAACCTTAATGGAGTCGGTTCTCTTTCCACTATGGGGTTCTGTTCTCAAAGATAAAATTCTGGTGATCAGGCTTTCTGACAAGCACCTTTACCCTTTGAGCTTTGGGGGAACAGGTCAGGTATCAGGAGCCACAGTTGTTGTATGTTCAGGATTGATTGTGATTGCAAGACCAAGTCATACACAGGAGATAACATTCCATAATTCACCTCTCCACACTAATTCCAGAATTAAGGGGACAAAAACATGTGAATCCCTGCGGTTTGCTGGCCAGTCAGTCTAGTTGAATAGGTAAACTATAGGTTCAGTGGCAGAATTACTTTCAAAAAATAAGATAGAGAATGACTGAGGAAGATGTGAAGTTGACCCCTGACCTCTACACACATGCACAATTACATGTATATTATTACATGCATGTCACACACATGCACAGTACACACTCAAAATTCTAATGTATCTTACAAAAGGTTATTTTATCCTATGTCCAAAAATAATAACTTATTTTGAAGTTGTCAAACTCTTTTCTGTAAGAATGAGAATGAGCTGGGTGGTGGTGGTGCATGCCTTTAATCCCAGTACTAGAGAGGCAAAGCCAGGCTGATCTCTGTGAGTTCAAGGGCAGCCTGGTCTACAGAGCAAGATCTAAGACAAGCACCAAAACTACACAGAGAAACCCTGTCTCAAAAGACCAAAATTTAAAAAAAAAATCAGAATGATGTTTCTCAAGACATTTATAAATTGTAGCTGAAAACACAGCACGTTGTATTTTTTAATATTTTTCATGTATCTAAGCATTATATGGAAATTTCTTCAGTTGTGTTAGTGCTCATTTTTATCACAAATATGTGCTAATATTTTTTAGGACATTTTAGACACCACTATGGTATGGATGAGTCTCCTCTTGCTGTGCATATGGTTAGAAGGTTTGGCCACCCATACCACTATTGCCAGAAGCCCAACCCAATAGCACTGTTGATTTGAGATTTGAACATCCAAACCCATGACTCAGATAACCCTTATCTTTTCCAAATGTCTTTATATTTTATTATAATGATATTAAGCTCACCAGTATAGACATCAGTTGAAATTACAGTTTTTCTACATTTTATGGATAAATTTTTATGTTAATCTTTTTTTTTTTTTTCGAGACAGGGTCTCTCTGTGTAGCTTTGGTGCCTGTCTTGGATCTCACTCTGTAGACCAGACTGGCCTTGACTCACAGAGATCTGCCTGGCTCTGTCTCCCAAGTGCTGGGATTAAAGGCATGCGCCACCACTGCCCGGCCATGTTAATCATTTTTAATCCCAACCTGGCCACAGTAAAAGGCTGCATTTTGATGATATCCTTTCATAGGCTCAGATGTCCAATAATTTTTAGGGACTCCTCATCTATGTTTATTAGTATGCAACAGTATTTTCCTTACTGTAATCTAACCTTCTTTTGGGGAAAATAGTTATACTATTCTGTTAATGTGATCACTATTTTTGAGTTTTCTAAAAAAGATATCTCTAGAATTTTTGCTCAACATAGAAATTCACTATTCTCAAGTTTGTTGGGACTTCTAATAAAATTTTTGACTGTAAGTTTACCTTATACCACTAATCTGGGTGCTATAATTATAAGTGAGACATTTAGTTCCTATAGGGTATAGTGGTCATATTCAAAATGCATGTAATATGATGACACTGCATTAAAAACTGCCAAAGTCATAAGCTGTTCTCTTTGCCAAGTATTGATGCCCATTCTGCAGGACAACCACAGTAGGATGCATCTGTAGCTGATTTTTCCATTCTTCTGTACACAATTTTAATTAGTCTTCTAAAATAATTTTCAGAGAGGTTCTCACTATATGTTACAACCTGGTCTCAAAATGCCTGTGTAGCCAAGGCTAAGTTCAAACTGGAGATCTTCCTGATCTAATCTCCCCAATGGTACATTCAGGAACATATGATACCCTGCCTGACTAATATTTCTCTTCTTGGAGGAATAAGTAACCTCATCCTGACATTAAGAAGGTTTAATATTTGCAGAAATCTATAATTTTTGTTTTTATATTGAAAGTGAGCAGCACAGCTGAGAGGTTAAATTATTAATGTCTCACTCCAAAAGTCATATTCAGTGTCCAATTTTTGCATTATTAATACAATTTCCAATGTCCTTATTATCAATCCAAAACTTTACTTAAAATACATAGTAGTTACACAGATCATTGATAAACCTCAATAACTCTGGAAAGATTAATCTTTCTATCATGTACTTATGTAGAACAATAGTATCTAACAGAATACTATTTGCAACTCTTACTGGCCATATAACTTGAAATAAATTCTTAATAGCATTTCTTTTCAATGACAAAGTATGAAGAATAGCATGTATGTATATTTGTGGACTAATGATAATAATTAGAAAAGAAAACTAGTGTTAATCACTTAATATAACATCTTCATATGCTGAGTATTACTCAGATATTTAGTCACAATTAGAACTCATAAGGACACATTTGAGACGCGGTTAAAGAGATGGCTCTGCAGTGAAGAGTACTCACAATTACAGAGAACCTGGGTTTGTTTTCCAACACTCACATAGATGCTTATAGGCCTCTGTAACTCCTTTACTGGGGTCATGGTGCACTCTTTGGCTTTTGTGAGCACGAGGGGTACATGTACATAAATACATATATGTGAGCTAAACAATCATACACATAACATAAAATAAACAAACTTTCAAAAACTAAAACAAAAAATTAAAAAGAATAAAATTTCTGTAGTTGCCTGCTAAATCAAAATCAGTGCTTATCTTCAGTCAAAACGTTAAAAAACAAACAAATAAAAAAAATAAGAACCCATTTCAGACTGCTGAATAGAGCACCAAATTACTAATTTTATTCAATTAAATAAAACCTATAAAGCATTTCACATATGTATATGTTATCATTTTCTTTATATAATAAGCACACACACAAAAAACATACTACTTGGTAGATGGTAGCTCACCAACATACACATAGGTTGTATAGAGACACAAAAAGTCTGGTTTTGTGTAGAAGCAATAAATTTACAAAATGCTTAATTCAAAATAATAATGTGTTTAATTAAAAAATAAACTCATTTAAAGCATAGATAATCCTTGAAGGTTTGAGGCCTTTGTTCTTGCATTGTGAGAAACCTTAGTGGGAGGTAAATTATAAGAGTGATGCCTCACTACGGAGTTGTTGGAGAGAAAGAATGAGAGCATTCTAACTTTTTCAACACAGCCTAGTATATGGCAAAGGAAAAACTTTGCCATTTTTACTTTAAGATGCACTATAGAAAATACACTTTTCAATTCTGAAATTTCTGGCACTTATTTGCCATTGTTGTTAGTCAGCCAAGTGACATGAGTACTTACTCACCGACACTGGTATAGAGTAGTAGTTTCTTTTCATCTTTGTGTACTACAGTAGACTAAAAAGTAAAAAAAAAAAAAAAAAAAATTGACTTTTCAATACGTATTCCCATTTTCTTTTAGTAGGTAGTAATATATCAATTAAAAAGCACATTAGCTGTGCAAAAGCTTTGAAGATTGCTTTTAAACATTTGGGAAAATGAGCATATTGGGCCATGACATTATCTGCTCAAATGATAAATATCAGCCAAACTTGGTATAGTAGGCAAAACACTTGATATGAAACACAAGGCATTTTTTTTCTTAACAATATAGAAGTTTGAAAAGTCTATGAAAATTTACACATTGTCCAAATTATTTTTGTGTCAAACAATCCTAAATATGTTTACAAATGAGTTTTGTTCTAGAGATTATAGAATTTTTCATGATCGCTTGCTAGGAAAATTTTCTAGAGGAGAACATGACTCTTTTATGGCAGCTTCATCAGTGCTCATGGTTTGATTTTTCTCAATAAAGTAAATTACTATAAGAAATACATACCTATCTTGAGGGTTTTATGATTGAAACACTAAGTGATGAAACAAACATATCTAAATATGTGTTCTATGCTAGGGCTTTATAAATACTATTTTCTTTCAACTCCATGAAATTCATAGGAGACAGTCTTACTGTGATCCCATGTACAGATGTTAAAACTAACACAGAAGCTCCCCAAACAGAACACACTAAGAAACTTTTAGATATGTTATTTGAACTGAACACATTATATAACCAGATTCTATTTCTTCAATTTATTTCCACACTTAAAAGTACAATGACAAAGTGTCAATTTTTATGAGCAAGAATATGCCAGGAAAGTGACCAGTTCTTATAATGGAAAGATTTGATCCTTGGTTTCCAAGAATGCAAAAATAAACTTTGTAAGTAGAGCTGTAGAGCCTCCCATGAAAGATGTACACAAACAACTTTAGTATGAAGTAAGATTGCATTTTGACAGTAATTCTAACTAGAGTTTAATATAGTTACATGATTGTTGTGACATATAATGTAGATTACTGGTTCTATGAATAACCTGGCGAGACATTTTTGTACCTATTCTGTTTTGGAATTCAGGGTTGTTGTAACTCCACTGAGTAGTTAGATATTAGTTTGTCACCATTGGTCTAACATATTGTTTCTTGACCTACTGTGTTTTGTAAACATTTTACAAGCTCTCTGACTTCATATTGGGAGTAGTTTATTGTCAACAGCATATAGACGATTATGCATGCTACTGCTTACTACAATACTAATAGAAGAATTTCCTTTAATATATTATGAACAAAAAATGTTTAATTCAAACTTTCTAGTGACATGCAAGACGGTACCAATTATCCACATATTCTTTAAAAAAAAATTGAATTGTGATAAAACTAAAACAAGACATTGTTTGGAGATTATGAAATGTTCCTAAGACTTTTCCATGTGTTATTAAATTACAATTGTTTGGACCTAAAGGACACATGCTTATGCCATACATTCTGTTTGTGGGAAGGCAAACTTTGAGGAGTTGCCAATGTAAATTGCTAGTGTAAATGCAAGAAAATGAGCATTCAGTTCATGTGGCATCAACTCAAATTTCTAGGGTAGAATAATGTTTCACAATCTTCCAGTAAAATTCAACACTGCATATGGTGATATTTTATTTGTACTGAAATGTGATTTTATTTGTATGTTAATAAATAAAGTTGCCTGGGGTCAGAGCTAATATTAAGCCATAGTGGAGCTGGGCATTCGTGGTGTACGACTTTAATCCCAGCACTTGGTAGGCAGAGCTAGGTAGATCTCTGTGTGGTCAAGGACCCAGCCAGCATTGGAGACACACACCTTTAATCTCAATACCAACCATAGAAGACCTGAAGGTCTGTACAGACAGGCAGTGGCGAGGTGGTCATGTGGTTGGGTTTACAACCAATGAGAAGGCAGAACAGAAAGTCTATATAAGGACAAACACACCGGAAGTAGGTCTCTCTTGGCTGAAGAGAATCGCTGAAGCAGGAAGGGTAAGGCTCTTAGCTCTGACCTCTTGGGCTTTTATCTTTACATTTGCTCTGTGTTTCTTATTTTATAAGATGGTTACTTCTAAAACTGCATTTATATGTGTATTTTATACATACTGACATATTTCTTTTCATTTTTTTTTCTATTTTTGTCATCTAACTGCTTGTATAGACTGTGTAATACTAGAAATAAGTGAATGGTCTGCTATATTATGGCTATTATGATGTCCCAATCATCACACTTGGCTACACTAACAACTGAAATTAAATTTCTGTGTTAATTTTATTTTTGAATTTTCATTGTTAAATAAGTGATTAGATTTTTTAGCTTCCCTTAAGTCATGAGATTCATTTTTGATATTTAAAACTTTGATGTTGATTTTACTGGTTATATATCAGATAGGAGAACTTTCACTGTATTAGGGAAATAAAAATCATAAAAAGGTATGTTTTATATATAACTATGAAATTATTTGAAAGAATATATAATATATTATATGAAATATTAAATTTCAAATATGTAAAATTTTTGTTTTGTAATTGAAATACCTAAACAATTTTTCCATCAAGAAAATATTTCAAACTAGATGGGATCCCAGGGCAGAGAGGGGGATGTAGACACAAATTCCCATCCCTAACCAGTAAGCTGTCTTCAATTGACAACTGCTTATAAAGGAAAAGTTAGTCTTCTCCAATGGAGTCTCAATAGTTATATAAACCACACTTAAGTGTAGGACCCATGGCCAGCAGAGATGACCCACACAAAACAAGCTCAATGATGTTTTTGTGGAACATTTGTCTCATGTTGTTTTGTTTGGGCTTTTTTCTTTAAATCTTACTAGTCTTTTGCTTTTATATTATGATTTCCCAGTTTGTGTTTCAATGGGTTTTGTGTGCGCCTGTGTTTGTGTGTGTCTGTATATTGTACTTTTTCATCATCATCATTATTGTTGTTGGTGGTGGTTGGTTGGTTTTTTTATTTGTCTGTTTTCTAAGTAGAGAGAGAGAATCTATGGAGCATGCATGGGAAATGGGTAGATTGGGGAGGAGGAAGCATGAACAGAATACATTGTATGGATTTTCAATTAAAAAAAAGAAAATAATTGATGACATCCTTTGTAGAGGATGGTATTCACAGTCAAAGGGAAACATCCTGTGGTTCAGTAAATAGATTGAAAAATGTCCAGTCATTTTATGTAATTATGAAATACACCTGATTACCTGATTTCAGATTTTTGAAATCTCATTGTCTGAAAGAACAGAGCAGAGAACAATACTTATTCTGATATTGTGAGATCATATAGACACTTGAAGAAGTGTACTTATTGGCTCTTGGGGCATACTTTCATGACAATATGAGGGTACTTTCAATTTCTATGTCTGAGTATAGGCCATGCAATGGTTCTTTAAGTATTTTACAACCATTTAAGAAAACTCAAAATGTGCTCTGTGTGTGTGTGTGTGTGTGTGTGTGTGTGTGTGTGTGTGTGTGTGTTTGTCTGTGTATATCTGTATGTGAATGAGAGAGTGAGAGTGAGAGAGAGAGAACACCAAAGAAATTATATATTTTTATACTAAAAATATGGGTTAGATATTAGTATTTTTTTAATCAAGGAAGTAACATGACTGGGTATGGTATAATTTAAGTTGGTAGGGGTAGCAAGGAGATGAGAAAAGTCAAGTGGGCAACCAAACTAAAGATGTATGAGAAATGCATAAAGAAATATGATATAAGGTTACAAAATAAAAGACAAATTAAATTGCTTAAACAGAGGTACTCACTGTGGGTAGATAAAGATGGTCCTAGAAACCACAAACTATTAAATAAAACTTCAAAGCCATGATGGGCTACTTGACACTCCTAGGTAGCTACTTCTGTAGATAAGTGTATTGGTAAGGAAGTTAATAAGGTAATGATAAATGATGTGGAAAATAGGATTCACCAGTTAATAAACTACCCTTGGGTTTTTATCAACTAAATTACTGGGAAGGTAAATGGAAAGTGACCAGTTATTTTTGGCATGTGATCTTTAAGTGTAGATATGGGAGAAAGGTTCTTGACTCTTTTTGAAGCAGGGAGTAAGTAATAGTTTGTCTATTGAACATACAAGAAAAATAAAACAAAAAGAAATGTGAAATTTTCCTTTAACTCAAGAAGAGTTAGTCACAATAAAAGTAGTGATAGGTGCCTGGGATTAAGTCTCAGAATATATAAGCTTTAATACACGGAAGAGATATCCAGATTATTCATGACAACCTCTGTAAACATATTATATTAAGGGACTTTGTGCATGCCATTTCCTGAAATTATTTCATATTAACTACCATCCTATTTTTTGTACATAAGTCAGTAAAAAAACAAAAAGCCCTCACGCCAACCATGTTGACTGTTTTACTGTGGCAGCAACTGCTTCATTTCATCATTTAGACAAAAGGAGGGTGCTCCAGAGAAGCAGAAATCATCTGGGAGTTGACATGTTTCTGTGGTGAGTCTTAGTGTGTGTGTGTGTATATATATATATACTAACACAGACTTTATAGAAAGAAAGCTTCATATCCCAGTGGTTATAAAAGTGAGAATCATTTATTTCAGGTAGACACAGTTCTTCAAGAAATGACTCTTCGCACACCCCGCATTGAGAAGAGCTGCAGCAGAAGTTTTACATGGTTATCCAAGCTTAGCTACACAAATACATGCAAAGAAGAAAAAGGAGGAGACCATTGCTACATCAGAAAAACAAGCACTTTTTCCCTGGCATTGTGTCTTTGGATATGTACCGCCTTGGAGAAATGTATAAAACCATTTAATATGCGGAACAGTCTTAGAAAACTAGAGATTTTAGTACAAAGAAATCAATCCACTGAAAGAATGCCCACACAAGGTTGTTAGGACTTAGGATAGCCACACAGAGGAACTTGGAAAAGAACCCCAGGCCATTGTTATGGACCTGCATGAATATAGTCGGCTTAAAATTTCTCCAGGCCTGAGTTACACTGGGTATTACAAATGAAACTAGAACCATAATGAAAATACTGATACAAAACAGTCTCAAGGTGATCATTCCAAAAATACCCTTCCTTTCAAAATTGAGCAGGTTAATCCAGGGTTTCTTTTTGAATGTTCCCATTTAAAAAAGGTTTGTCAAGAAAATACTAGTGTTTAAAACATCTCTTAAAATGTCTATTAAATGACAGGATTTTTTAAATAGAGTATTTCTTACAAAGAATAATTCAAAAGCTATCTTCCAAGAAAACATAACTATAAACTTCAAAATGCAACTTAAAAACATTACTTGTTTCCTTGCATATTCTTCCATATCCTAGAGAAAAAAAAACAAAAAACTTTTTTTTGTTTGTTTGTTTGTCATGCTCGGGTATTTACAAGTTTAAAATATTCTAAGAAGAGAAACTAACCTTCGGTTCAAATCAAGTTAAATTCTACAACTAATCTTTTTTTCCCTATAATTTCACAAATATTATCCAGCTCATAATGCATATCCACATGACTTTTGCAGCTTCTAGTAGATGCTGGAAATGTTAGGCAGCAAGCTCAGGTGTCTTTTTATCTTTAACAAAATTATAAAAACACACATGAAACAAACACCAAAGAAAGCTTACGTGATGTAAGTCTTCATCCGTAAAATTAAAAGAAGTACAACATAGCCAAAACAATAGTTAAAGCTAGGATAGGCGTCTCAGGGTTCTCCCCCAAAGTGTAGAGTTCAAATACATTTTTATGTTAGGCGGTGCATGTTAGGTGTGGCTTTAACTTCAGCAGCTTAGTCAGATGCCATGCTGTAACTAGAGTGTCATTTTCCCTTTGTTTGTCTCATTTGTGCATGCTGATGGAGCCTGTCTATTAGAGAATGCTTTAGAAGCAGGACATGCAGTGGGCTTGAGAGTCTCAATACACCCACTATACGGAATGTGAGTACTTACCAGCCCTGATCTTTCTCTAAGGCAACTGCCATTTGATACTCTTCTATAACTACATGAGCAATGTGTTTCTATTTAGCTGTTTTGATCTACCTCCTATGCACTCGGGTAGGCAAAACACCAGGCCTTACATGTCGAAGACTAATGTTTGCCACCTAATGAGAATAAAATGTTTTGATGAGAGATAGATTTCATAGATCAAATTGCCAAAGTTCACAAATTTTACTTTCGGTTGCAAATCTAGTAGAGTGCATAGCCAGAATTTTATATACAGGTTACAAAAAACAAAACAATAAAACAAAACAAAAACTGTTCTTTCTGTTTCTTAATTAAAATACCATGGGTTAATGAGTATAAAGTAAACCTGGGTGCATATAAAAATAAATGAGTATTTTGAGAATAAAAAGAAAGTGAAGTAAAAGAATATATATTTTTTAGAATAGTAAATCTTTGAAATTTAAAGAAAAAAATGTTCTCATTTATCCATGACAATACCCACAAAGTGTGCCATTTGGCAAAGTTCAGCTGACTCTGTCACTTCATTCTGTGATACTTTTTATATCAGTAGAAATTAAAAAAAAAACACCTTGTAAAGAGTAGAGCTGTGGCTCTCTATCCTTTGTGAACTAGTGTAACTAAACATTTGAAAAACAAAATAAATGGTCCTTCCCTCCCAATAGCTCCACAAGCTTGAATGTATGTAATAGAGAGATGAAGGTATCTCACGTTACATGCACACAAGCTTCATTCCACTAACAAACACACTGTCTAGTATAAGCTTTAAAGTCCGTTCCTCTCTTTTTAGCAACTATTTAATCTAAAACTGTACAGTTCCTTCCTATACTCATTCCTCTAACCTACTTTATAGTAACACCATAATCAGAGAGCTATTTGACATTACCTTCTGAAATCCCAATGCATATTAGCAAGTTATACAGAAAAAATATAAATAACTTATAGACTACATAAGTCAGCAAGATGATTCCATTCATTATATATGTGTATTTCCATAGACAACAAAGTCTTCTGCACAATTAAACCTAGTAAGTCAACATACTCAAACCCTCGTCCTTAGAAATAAAAGAAAAAAGCCCATAAGTCTTTGCTTACAGCTAAAAATAAAACTAGTAAAATGAACATGACCACTCTTACATGGCACATGGAGCAGTAGCCATCTCTATTGTTTACAGGGCAAGGGTCTAACTACCCATCCTGCTGCCCCAGAGTCTGGAACTCTGTGGTGTGTAAATTGTGGTGGAGAAAAACATTCTTCCTGCTGTATGTGTGTAAGGAGATAGGTCCTCTGGGTGGCTGTCCAAACCTGCCTGTGAAGGTCGAGTGCTGTCGGGACAGAGCTGCTGGGTCTTTTGGTTTCTCCGAGAACATGGAGAGCCCTTCTGTCTTTGTTGCTGGCTTCAGAAAGCTTGGTCCCACAGTGGTCCTCGAGTTCTGTGTCCCTTCTGAGGTGATGGCTTCATAAGCACCCCTTGAATGTTTCATAACTCCTCCTAATTCCTTGTCCTTCAAGAAATTGCTTAGACATAGACCTGGGAGTTGGCAGATGTTCTTGTAGGGACTTGTCTGGTCAACTGTAGAGTATCTAAAGCGGTCCTCGGTGGGAGTATGTATTGCTTTTCTGTCCCTTGTGCTGAGACTTTGACTCATGGCTCGATTCCGGTATGTAGACTGGGAAAGAAACAGAAAAAGGAAAAACATCAATCATGTTACAAAATCCTGTGTAGAAGGAGGTGGCCTCCAAATCTTTATGTGTAAATCTGAAGCTCTCAATAAGTATAAGAAACATTAGAATGCTCCATGAAATTAAATTCAGAAGTATTATAATACTCCAACAATATTAAACAGTCAGTTTACTCAAAAAAAAGCACTTTGAAAACAGTTTAACTGGTATAAATTTGTATTCTACAGTTCTATCTGAAGATTAGCCTTTTATTTTGTTTTGGATAAGTACAAAAGGTCACTGCTTACACCTGGATATATTCATTTAACTATGTACCCAGAGAATTACCATAATAACATAGTTCTCAGGTTCATGATTTCTTGTACCTAAATAGTAACCTAAAATTTAAGGAATTAAAAGAGCAAAAGTCTTTTCAACCATAAAAGGGTAGCAGTAGAATGGAAGAAATTTCAGCACATGGTTTGTTTAGATTTTTATAGATGCAAATTATCTTTCAAATGCAGGCCAAATTGCATACCATCTTCCTGCTCTCAAGAAGCTTAAAGGTCTGCATGGAATCAAAACATCTCTCATTTAGCATTGCTTTGGAGGATGTAAAGACTACAAGCTGTCAATCATACTCCTCTGAAGCCCACAGTTTCATGACTTAGAAAACATATTGTGGTAGAAACAGAAACTTGCTGCAATATTGTTTCCTGAAATAAAACGGAAAGGATGTTTCATCTCTACAAAGAATAACAGAAAATTCACGAGGAACAGATGAGAGAGAATAGAGCAGAACTCAGGAGATTGTGGTGCGATGGCACATGTGCAGATGGAGCTAGTAAAATTTCCAGTAACTTGAAGTGTAAATGATGTACAGTAGGGTTAAGTACTCATTGAAAATCAAATCTGCAAATCTTATATCTGCCCATATCCCAAATTGCATATCCAGCTGTCATCACTCTGTTGTGTAAGAACCGTCACTATGTCCACATTGAGCCATGCCAAATCAAAGTGTGACTGTCATCTACAAAACACACCCTTCCTCCTTTAATAATAGCATCATTGTCTGTCTTAACACCTCAGAACCATCTTGTGTCCTACTTTCTTTAAGCTCCTGCAGACCCAGTGCTTGCTGATGTACTGGCAAATCTCAGGCTCTAGTTAAACACTACCTAGCTCCACCATGGCACACGTTCACTTGTCTGGCAATGCTGAGCATTTGACAGACATTTATAAATAAATGTGTGTGTTTAAGATTATACTGTAGAGTGCTATTCTGTGTAAATCACATGCCAAGAACTCTGCTAATGTTCTCATGTATTCTGGGACTATATTGTCATTTCAGTTGAGACTTCAAGGTTATCATCACAGAATATACATTCTACTGTGTTACAAGCTCTCTTAACTATATTCTTTTGCTCACCTATTTCAGGTTGAAGTAAAGAGCTACATACACAGACCTATTCCTTCTGTTTTGGCCTCAATGTTGTCATTGACCTGGCATTCTTATTTTGTATCATAGTCTTATGTGCACACCCCTTCAGTACCTCATTTCATTGGAGGGACTAAAGGCAGTAACATTTATCTTCATTATGCAGGAGTTTCCCTCATGTCTTCTTTTTCTTTTTTTTTTAATAGCTCTTCCCCAGTACTCCTGGTCTTAGTCTTCTTTATAAAAGTGAGCATGGCTTCTCTCCCTCTCTGTGGCATGACCTAAGATACTTACTAAAGCATTTACTCTGCTACCAGAGAAGTGCCAATCAGCCCTGTCTTTAATTCCTGTGACCAAATGCAGCCATGTGCCAGGCATGGGTTCTGCTTCATAGCACTAAGAGAAAAATTCTGTTTCCAGTGGAAAAAGACTTTGGAAAATCAACAGTGATAATGCCAGGTGTGTTGCTCTCATTGCTAATAAAAAGCTGATTGGCTAATAGCTAGCAGGATTTTGGGGACCAAGAGAATGCTGGGGAGAAGAAGGGCAGGGTTGGGAGCAAGATGCCATGAGATGCAGAGCAAGCAGAATGGGAAGTATGTACGTGAGGTAATGAACCCTGAAGCAGCACATAGATTAATAGAAATGGGTTAATTCAAGTTGTAAGAACTGTCTGGAGACAAGCCTAAGCTACCAGCTGAGTATTTATAATTAATGTCTCTGTATGGTTATTTGGAAACTGGTTGCAGGGACAAAGAAGTCTGCCTACATATAGTGTCCAAGCATCCAGTACCTACATCCACGTAAGACCTAAGGAAGATTTAAAAAGGTTCTAAACACACAAAAAAGAGCCAAATACTGCTTCCTAGTCTTGTGCCTTTTATTCCAGCTGCAGTACAGAGAAGTATCTTCCAGCAGCTGCCTGTGGGATGGAGCTAGCTGCCAACTGCCATGTTCTAGCTCCATTCACTGAACTGAGCAGTGTCAGTGGCTGAAATAGCAGTTTAAGATTCATCTCATGCAATCAAATAACGATATAGATGCTCAGTAAAGACAGATCTGGAGGGTAAAAATCCTCTAAGTGGGTTACAGTGTGTTTAAAAACTTATATAAGTCTGGGGAGAGAGAAGAGAAAAAGTAAATATAGTCATAGATTAAAAAATAGTTTAAAAATAATAAAGTCCTTAAAATGAATAAAGTAAAATAAAAATAATAATAAATAATAAGTAACAATAAAACACATAAAAATGGGAAATACACACAGAGAGTCTGGATCTTGTATATATTGTGTTGTCTTTATGTTTTCTGATTGCTAATGAAGAGATGACAGCTGCTAAAACATATTGGATTATGAAAACTGCTGGATTAAACCAACCTTTATATTTTAAAAATGTCTTGACTACAAAATGGAAGTCAAAAGATTTGTTACTTTGGGCAAGAGGTTATGCTTTTATTTCTACAGGAAATGAGAGGCTATGGATTTATTCCAAGTTGGCATGGATCAGGTTTGATCAGGGAAGACCCCCTGAAAATTCTGGCTTCTGACGTAAAGAAATAAACCTAGAAAAACTACAAAACACGTAATGTATATTTTACTTGCTCAAACATAAAACAAAACAAAACAAATCATCTTTGGCTAACTTGTGTACAACACATGGTCTGTAGTTGTATTAATACAGACATGTATGTACTTTTAAAAGTTCATTTATTTTCAGAATAAGGAGACTACATATCAATAAAAAACAGAAGGCCCAGGTGATCTAGCATCTCAAAATGTCTCTGTTATAGTATCCTCAGAATTCTGCATCCATACAGCTTCAAGGCTACTGGCTAAAATGGTTCAGCCTCACAAACTACTCCAGTCATGACTTAATATTAGCCAGATTTTCTCAAGCCCCCGCCCAAATATACCAGTGTCCACAGTCTAAATTATTTTGAGACACTAATCTCAAAATATTTTACATTGATACGTATTTTTATATATTGGTACAAATTTGAAATTATTTTGTTATATTGTATGCATATTTATACTCTTGTTTGGGGTATTGTGTTTGTACAGCTCATTTAAAAATGTAATATATAATTAAGAAATACAGATTAAGAGTCATCTATAATAATCAAACTTATGGGTATATTTCAAGGTCATACACAGATATATTTAGATAGATAGATGCTCTTCAAACACTTCAAAGACTTACAGAATATGTAGTTTAATGTTTAATAATGTAAGGGTTTTCATGGCAATGAGTTATGCCTGCTCCTGACAGTACCAATTTGCTTCAAAAGAGGATAATGGGCATCGAAGAAACTCCATATGGAGTTTGTTTTCATTATGGCAAAAACTAGCCATTTGGACAAAGAAACTGCCTTTGTCTTATTTGCTAACAGTATACTGTCCAAACTGGACCAGCAGAATGCAAAAAAAGCAAATTTTTCTCAGATTACTAGGCCTGTAAGGCTGAAGATGGAAGCCCCAATGTTAAAAAGAAATTCTGAGTGACTGTCCAGGCAGTCAGTTGTTTCTGTCATTTCTCTTAATTTTGGAGATCAGTTGCTATGCACTTCCTGCTTACTTAGATAATAGTATATCCTTCTCCGGTCTTTGATGGGATGGAAGACTATGTAGTTACAGTTGCAGTTCTCCCAAATCATGGTAGAAAGTTAATTAGGTATGAAACTTTGGACTCTTCAGGATAGGACAGTTAATGAAGTAATTTCTCTACATTTGCCAATTACATATGGACTGACATGATTATATTTCTTATTTGATGATTGTTCTTATTGTATGTTTTTCATTTTTGTTAAGGTTATTACCTTTCCTTTCTATTTAGACATTACCTGACAATCATTCTTATTGTATACAGTTTTGTTTTGTTAGAGTTAAAACCTTTCCTTTTTATTTAGACAAAAAGGGGGAAATGATGCAGGAGAGCTGTCCTTACAGTCATTCCACCATGCCAATAAAGAAACCTTGAATCTAGGACAGAATCAATGATTGGCTGACTGTGATTAGCCATAAAGTTCTTGGAGGACTTTGCAGGATGGCTAGAGAGGTCAAGAAGAGACTCAAGGGGAGTTTGGGGAGAATTTCCAGGGTGAGATGGTCCAAAGAACTTGGAGAGAAGGTCGGCCAGTTGCTCCACTTTCCTTGAATACTTTGGGTCTTCATCTCAATTTCTGACTCCTGAGTTTTTTTTTAATATACTAGAATAAATTAGTTAATCATTTCATCTGGCACCGGCAAGGTATATAATAGTTCTGTTCACAAAAGTTTGGGTTCCCATCTTGCCATCTGTCAGCTTAAAATTTAATATAAATTTCAACTGAAATTAGAAGCATTCTGAGCGGCCACAGAGAGTTTAATTTTTGTAATATTCTCATTATAATAGGAAGATTCATATTCCGTCAACACCTCCATCATGCATTATTTTGAACACTCAAGAAATGTGAAAGTAAAATTGCTTGATGTTGTACCTTGAAAATAGTCATATAACATATCTTTTGATAAAGGTAGCAATAACAATAAGAAAAAGAAAAAAATATAAAGCAAGTAATAGACTATTAAATTAT